TTGACAATAATCTACCTGTTATACTGTTGTTGAGTTTCCATACTTTCCTTATTTGAAAGTGAGTGGATTCAAACAGCAGCATTGATTAATCCGATTAAAGATTTCAGGACTCGTCCTTATACATCCATATTTGATTGTATATTTACTGCATTTCTCAACTTGTTTTCCCTCCCTCCTTCTAGTTGGCATTTTTGATAGATCATTGCGCATCTGATAATGTGCTACATAGACTGAGCGTCTGAATCCAGAAGTTTATAGAGCATTTCGCAGCCGAACTGTAGAGTTTCTTAATTGTTTGGGTCATCGATTATGCGGATTTAGTCGAAATATTATACTTATGCCATATTTACAACTGGATGAACTATTCAAGTTCAAATTGCAGACAAAAGAAATGGTTTGCCGTCACGGTATTGAATGCACTGAATTGGAATGCATGTATTCGTGCTCTCACTGGTCGACCTTATCACCTCCTGATCTGGTTTGTTCACGTTCAAATTATTACTGTTTGTTCGAACAATTTTCATCACGGATTTGCTTCTTTTCTTCTAAGAAACTTTTCACTATCAGTTTGAGGAAACAACCATTTCCAAATAATTTCTATGCCTAGATCATTTCCAGATCATTTGGTTGAATCAACAACCCCTAAATTAGCAGATCGAAAAACAAAACCGTGGCCTTTCTTAACACTAAGGAAAATATATTTTTGAGTTGTTACAAAATGGCAAATGCTTATGACGAAAAACGCTGAGTTACATAAAGATAGCTGTACAGTTTACGATCACGCTTGTGATAATCCGTATTTATGTGGTTCATCATAAGGGTGATTAAACGTATATGGACATGAGCATACGACTTTTTCTATTCCTCAGTTCATTAACTACAAAAAAGCTTATATATATATGCAGGATGAAAAATCCTGAATTCCTGCGCATAGGTATTTGATGGTTTCACTCATCACCTTGGGACTGAAAATGTTCACAACCCTATTGTTCTGCCATTCTTACATTTAGTTCGCTATGTTCAAATGCATTTTTACTATATTTCAGGTTATTGAGAAATTCTATACGGCAGTGCAAAAGTGCTACAATGAGAATAAGCTTTCGATAAAGAGTAACTTAGATTTACCTTATGGAGGTACCGTCCATACACATTATAAATCTGATTTCTGGTTATCTCTTTATCTTTGATTCTCGAAAGGTGACTTGATCTACTCATAAGTGCCTTCAGATGGTGAACGACAAAAAATTGACATTTGGGGAGACGAAGAGAACTGGCAAACTGCTTTCATTTTCTTCCACGGTGGCTATTGGCAGGTGGGTGCGCGGGTCATGAATTTCTTCCGTCGTAAATTTTCACCGAATTTTTTCTGCGTTCAATTTAGCTTTTTTTTGAAATGTTGCAAAAATTTACGCCCTAATATGGCTTTTCATCTGAAATTTTGCCTCTTTTTGTTCTTACGCNCGATGCCACAAGTATGGTGAAACCTTTAACAGCCGAGAAGTGCATCGTTGCTATGGTTGGTTACGATCTGGCACTAACGATACCGTTATTGACAGTGATTGAACAGGCAATTCAAGCCTTGAAGGTGACACAAATCCACTCTCTATTATGCTCTCTCGAAGATTTCTCAACGAAATGGTTCAGCTCGAGAAATTTCCATGAAAATGAACTGATGACTCACGTGTCAAATCCGTAACTCTTGTCAATACTCTTCGTTTGCGATGATCAAAACTAAGCGCTCAAATAGCTTCGAATTTCAACACCAACAAAAACATCGATGTTCGATCGGCTGCAAAGATCAAAGTAATGCTTTAAAGAAAGCTATAGTAGTAACATGTCGGTAATATGCGTTGAAAGAAAGCTCTTTCGAGTTGGCATTACTCAACGCAGCACCATTATTTTTTCGGGCAGACTTACAATTTTTTTTAAGTTCTTGCAGCATCGTTGGCCGAAAAAGCGGCTTTTTGCCGGAGGTCATAGTGCGGGGGCCCATTTGGCATTATCTGGTAGGTGTTCGTTTCAAGAACTAGTGCTAATGCTATCATACAGCGTTTGTTGCGTTCATGATAAGGTTGTGGGATGTACATTTAATCTTAAAACAAACATATGTATGTGTTGTGGGAATGATATTCAATCATTTTTTCATTTTTAAGCGTTACTATCGTTGGGTTCTGAAAGTCGATACGATGGGGCATTTCTTATATCGGGTGTCTATTTCCTCCAGGATCTACCGGCCACTTATATAGGACGAGCGATCAAGTAAGCTCTCCANATTAGTTCACTCATCCCTTGAATAAGGCAGTTTTGGTAAAGGAATGATGAAATTTCTAGGCTCAAGCCATCAGAAGCCAAGACTGCAAGTATTGAAGATGTTCATGGCTATAAGAATTCCATAATGCTTCTGGTTGGTTCACTGGAATCGCCACAACTGCTGAAACAAAGTCAGAAATTGTTTAATCTCTTCAAGATGAAGGCGGTTTGCGAAGACATTCAAATGAAGGTCAAGAGGCTGAAATTTCACCATCTTACAATCAGTATTATCTCATCCTCTCAAAGGCAGATTAGGGTTGACCCATTCGGCATGTAAATAGGGCCATACAGATGACGGATGTAGCCAAATGCAACGAGTTCTCAATTTTTGAATGGCACATCTCAAACCCCAGAAGTCATTTTGATGAATAAATCCTCACGGTTACCTTCAGAAGTTACTTATTTTTAATTTTAAGGACATTTTTGAAAATCAATTAGCGATTGCCGAAATTCTGCCGAAATCGTCAGTTTTCTAGCCTTTTTTCAGATAATCGATGGGGACGATCATTTCTCAATTATAACGAACTTACAAGATGCTGGTACGCAACAGACCAAACAATTACTCTCATTCATTAAACATCCAATTGAAAACCAAACAAACGAATGAGTATCAATAAAGAATTCATGGAATCAAGCGATGGAATGAATCAAGCAAATTAAGCATAATTTACTCATACAAATGCAAACAAATTCACTCGAATAACAAATAAAGCAATCAGAAACGCGACATTAGACGTTTGATGTGGTTTAGGCGCCTGTGCAGCTTGTTATTTCATGTGGAGTTTCGACATTGTTGCGGGTGGATTAGTATTATCATTGGATGCAGATGGATTAGTATTGTCAATTGTCGCATTACCTTTGCAAATCACGAAGTTTGTATCCTTCAACAAACAAGTTACCAGGCCTACAACACCTGTAAAAACAGATTTCATTGGAACAATTTATTGAGAGGATTCCATTCAGCATTTTACTGCCAAAGGATCTTTAAGTCTCATTCTATTGCTCAAATCTTCTGTTCGTCTCGAATGCAGAATGGTGTACAGTTTAATTCGAAATGAAATAAACATCTGAACTGAAGAGCCACGGAATCGTGTAGCAGCTGAAGTTAAAAACAAAGATCTGTCAAACATCGCGAACAATTACCTAGATTAGTCATGGAAACACAAGTGTCTTTTACGTCAGATAGCTCCCGGAAATTAGGGTGCTTTTGAGCAACCATATAAATTGATACTTTAAAATCCAGCGGACGGATTTGTGAAAGCTTATCTAAACAATGAATTTTACAATAATCTCGCATGAGTTTTGTAACTAATAATTCCTGAAAATGAATCAGATCTAAATTCTTTTTTCGCTGTTAAATGGATAATGCCGACTTAAGCCGTATGTAAGATGATTTATAATGTATTTTACAATTAGTTTGAAGAAGTTTTTAAATGAAGAACGAAAATGAAAAAATGAATGAATGAAAAAAAACTAGATGTGATAGTTTCGAGATAATAACAATAACATATTGGATGCTTAAATTGATCTAATGAAGGATTTCATCGCAACGATACCCATAAGTACAAGAAAATCATATTCATTCAGCGAAACGTAGTAATCTTCAGTGAAAAACTGGACAGATTTATCTGACTGATTTATGATGGGAACTTGAGATGGAATACTAAAATCGACCAATAAAGTGATTCCAAAAAGATATCCAGGAGCAACGCTTAGCGCCAAGTACCGCACACGGTCGTAGAACTTCGTTGAATTCAAGATGTGCTCATGTGTTTTCTATGAGAATGATTAGATGATCAATGAAATGCCTTCAAAAACTTGTCAGAAAATCCGGATCTTCGTCACTTGAGAAAACAACATGGTCGTACACATATTTCTCGCAGAGATTCACAAGATCGAAAAAGCTTGTTTTATGTTTGACGCGTTCCACTGGTACCTTATGCCGGGTTGCGATCTGGATGAAATGCGATTAGAGAGGACACATACGAAAAATTGTGTCTTAAAATGCCTGAGTTTGAATTTCTTGAGTAGATGAAAGGTAGAGGGTGCCTTTGAAATAAATTGCCGCAGATCTACTGTAGATGCGAAGTGAAAAGTGTACGCGAGAGAAGTGAAAAAAGGAGGATCAAAACAAACAAATGATCTGGCGGTGTGATAGTTCAAAATTGCATAGCATTCCACTGACTCATTAGATGTGGGCCGTGAATATACATGTGTAACGTAACCAGGGTCCTTCACTTTACATGGTCCTCGGAGAACTGAAAAGTCTCTAGTTGAAAAGATTTTGTATTTTCGTTTGCCAAATTAAGAAATCTAGGAAGAGTAAGAATTTAGAATTTTGCTGAAGTAGAAGTGTTAGACGGCAAATTTATATTTAACCGCATATAAATTTTAAGCGTTGTTCAAACAATACTCTGTCGGAGTATTCAAGAGGATTTAAGTGGTTTATTGTCAACATGGTCTTATTGACGGTATTCTAAACAGTGCCAACATTAGAGAAAAAACATAAGAGCACAGAAAAAGCAACGACGATTGGAAATTCCTACTCTCATCCTGCGGCCCACCGCGCGAACATTTTATACTCAATCCTCCCAGAAGGAGGATTGCCGGCAGAACCGAACTCCAACCCATGTAACGCTAACAGTGCGTTGCTTTATTCTCGCAATTGTCACAATCTCATCAAATCTTCATGATACTTCGAAATTTGAATAGTTGCTGGATATTCATTTCAAGTTCATATTAAACCAAGAGTGCACTCATGGTTTCGTGCAAATTTTTTTGTTTCTATCCTCAGTTCTAAAAGCGCACGAGTTCCAGATCATTTCTGAAGGTGTATCTCACTTTTTTTGGGTTCATCTGACGGAAACGATTTAATATTTGATTAGAACCAAGTGCCTTCCGTTTACTAAACTCACGCTCCGTAATGAGATAATGTAAATTTTGATATTCCTTTCATTGACATGTCGCGACGGAGCGCGAACTATACGATTCATCAGGAGCACCAATGTAATTCATGAATTAAATTTTTGCTTACATTAGCTGTTTACATATAAGATATAAAATGTGTATAAGGGCATAAAATATGCATGATGCAATGGAACATTTGTATCTTTTGTTGGATGATCCCTTTGTGCTTGGATGGTCACCTTATACTGCCTCATCGATTCGCATGATGAAATGATGATGAAACGGAGCTTTTGTATGCACTACTTGGATGATCACTTTACCCTTTTGCGCTTGCATTAATCCTTTGTGTTTCGATAATATGGCGAATAAACACCGAAAGTGGAGTAACATGGGTAAGATTATCGTGAAATCTCCCATATCGTCCTAATTGATCAGGCAAGTTGTTTTGATAGGATTTTGCTAAAACTCGTTGCGGCAAGCGAAGAAACCATGAACAGTCTATGATTTCAAGCCAACGAAATAACCTCGGTTTTATTCAAAAGAAGATCAGCCTATCATTTCCATTTCATTCGTTTCCAATAAACAATTGAAAATTTCGCATGACGCATTACTGCAGCAGAAAAAATGACAATGAAAAACTGTTTATTCGATCACAAAGTAATGAATGCAAAATTATTCATAACGATTTATTGTACTGATACGATGGAGGTTAAAAGCATAGGTAGCGGATGCAAGACAAACTCAGTAGAATTTAAGAGCTGACAAAAATCTCTGCCAAACATTCGATCTTCTGTGACGGATCTCCGATGGATGGTCTTCATGAATCTCCTGAAAAAATACTTCCATGGAGCTTTCAGCGGAAATAAGGAATTCTGGAGAAATAGAATGAGCTGGAAACTGTTTTTCAAAAGATGAAGAATTACTAAGCGCCTTATACTGGAGTCATGAATGGCAATCGCATTGTCGTCAGAAAATCGCATTGATCAAGGTCAGAATAATGCCAAGAATAAATAAGTCGCTCCAGCAAAGGCTGAGAAAATATGTACTTACCGTATGCCTAACATTTCTATGCTGATGATCATTAGCACCTTCGGAGATCAAATTTTCAGTGGCTTGTTTCTTTGCATCACCTTCGAGTTCTTCATAGTAGTGCATCAGCTTCTCTTGAATCTCTTTTTTGTTTTTGCCATCCTTTTTCATTTGTAACAGTGCTTCTTTCTGTTCAGGGTTCAACCATTTCAGATGAGTATCCATGCAACTCTCGAGCGTGAAATGATGACGGTGTCTCCTCATTCTTGAATGATTGATACCATAGAGTTTCATACAAACTGGTCCAAAGTCATCAATGTATTTTTTCTTCTCCTCATCGTGAACTTCACCCAAAAACACATGTAGTTTCGCCTTCAATTCATCCTTACTTACTCCCGATTCCTTCATTGATTTCAATTCAGCTGTTTTCTCCTCACCAATAACATACTTCAAGATCTCACGGCAACCGCCGATCAAATTTTCAGTGGCTTGTTTCTTTGCATCACCATCGAGTTCCTCATAGTAGTGCATCAACTTCCCCTGAATCTCTTTTTTGTCTTTACCATCCTTCTTCATTTGCAGCAGATGTTCTTTCTGATCAGCATTGAGCCACTTCAGGTGGGTATCCAAGCTTGACTCCAACGTAAAGCGATGGTCTCTTCTTCTTCTGGAACTTGTGATACCATACAACTTCATGCATGCTGGTCCGAAGTCATCAACATATCCCTTCTTGTGCTCATCGTGAACTGCATCCACAAAAGTGTGCAATTTTGACTTTAATTCTTCATTTGTTGCTCCAGAATCCTTCATCGACCTTAATTCAGCTGTGTTCTCTTCACCAATGACATATTTCAGTATCTCACGGCATCCTCCAATCAAGCTCTGAGTTGCTTCTTTCTTCGCATCGCCCTCAAGATGATTCAAATAATGCTCCACCTTCGCCTGAATCTCTTTCTTTGACTTTCCATTTTTTTTCATTTCTAACAATTCTTCTTTCTGTTCAGGACTCAACCACTTGAGATGAGTATCCATGCTATTCTC